CAAATATTTTTTCATATATATAAACAGGGGTGGAGTCAAAAATTTTGTCCAGAGTGGACATCCTAACTAGAATCTTTAATTTTATTCGTGCAATAGGTAAAAGTAAATTATTATTTTTTATTTATTGTAATCATTTACAATTGACCCGAATAAGTTTTCAAATTGTTATAGCGTTAGTTGATAATTTCACTATCAATACTATAAAAAAAAATATTTTTTCATACAAATAACTAATCAAGCAATCAGTGATCCATTATTAGTCACTCATTTGATTATGCAACCAAGTCTGCATAATTTTATGACTTAAAATTTGTAAAAATGAGCCCATGTCAACAACTTATCTAAATATTTTCAAAACGTGTTCAAAGTATGTGTGAAAATTTCCAGTCATTTACTAGTAGGTTGATGAGACCAGCAAATGGTAAGTTGCGTAGATGTAGATATACTTAAAAATTAATTGAGATATATTATATGTTTTAAAAAAAATTCAAGGTGGGCTCGTGTCCCTTGTTCCTTTCCTGGCTTCGCCAATGTGTGTGTGTATACGTTGGTCTTAATAAGTTCATCCGTCGGTTTCAAATAGACTCATTCAACAGTCACCAACATACTTCTTAAAATTATTCACATTGTACTGTACTTTCAGACATAGATTACCCCTACTTTATATATATATGATCACTTATTACCACCACCATATTACACGCACACTCGATGATATCATGTATTAATAATAACGGGATATCCCAATTTCATTAAATATTTACTACTAATTTTGTCCATGGTTAAGAAAGTTGACATTAAGCCCGCGTGGTAGCCGACTTATTCTATAAACAACATTTCCTACAAAACATTGTACACGTATCCCTGCAGCCGGCTTGTTCCTTATGATGGATTAGGTGGTGACCACTTGCCAAGTTGCTATAAGAAGAGAGACAATGTAGAGTGCCTCTTAATTCATACGAAAGGCAAAATCATGCCTTTAATAGGATAGTTTTAATGGAGTTAGTCTAGTATAAGTATAAACGAGTTCTAAACTCAAACGTCTTGGAATTAATCGATGTATACATAAGCTAACTCAGACACTCTTGATCACATACCCAAAAATAAAAAGATAATTTTAACACATGGTCTCTATAAAATGAACTTTGAGGGTCTAATTATGATATCTAAAAAGTTAATTTTTTCTACTACACATTAACTTTTAGTTCACTCTAAACTTGTCATGTCATGTGATAAGTGTAAGTGATGTAAATTGTATTGCGTTGAAATTGACTCAATTTATCGGCTTAGTTGGTAGGCTAGTTTGACTCATTACTTAGATTACAATCCAAGACAATTAAGACTAAAATCATATTCAATAGCTTCAATTTCAATTACCTTTAAGGTTCCTAAAATTTAAAAACCTCAATTTTGGGTATTTTTCAAGTCCATGTGATCCATCAACCAACAAGACGGTGACGCTTTTAAGTTTTTCCCCACCCAACAAAGTGCAACACTAGTTGAGGATTACGGTTTGAGTAATGCCATTGAGAACTAATTTATAGACCTAATTTACTATAACTTTTGGATTCACTGTAAATCACATTAAACATTAGAATTTGGTATTGATCCAATGATTCCTACGAAATTACATCATTATGTCAGCAAATTAGATCAAATTTTTAGGTCAAAATAGTATTACTCTTACAATTTTATGTTGATTTATTTGTGACCATTGATATTTAAAATTTTTTATATGTGTCATAGTTTAATTATTAAAAAAAAATATGATACTAAAAAATAATTTTTTTGAATCTAATTAGACCCATGAACAAGAAAATATTTATTTATAATCTCTGGATAATTCTTAAACTGAAGACCACACGAAAAGTGCCCTTATCTGAAGGGACGCCTAAAAGAAGCAAATCAACAAACCCAACCAAACCCCTAGAAATTAGTAGCAACAGACAAACTAACATACCATTAATTTCTCACTCGTAAATCTTAAAAAAAAAAAATCTAGTGTAATCACCCGCAAATCAACGACTAACTTGATGCGATAAATGAATTGTAGACCGTCGGATCATGAACCCCTGAAAACTAAGTCCCAACTAAACAGATAATATCGCAATAATATTTCAATTGATGAATGATGTTGACATTGATTGAGATTTAATAGACAATTCGAGGAATTCTTTGAAATTTCAGCAATCATACGAAGCCCCTTCGCCAATTGCTAATGGAATGACTATTTAACCCTTAGTTGACTAAGTTAAAAACTGGAGAATGATAGAAAAACAATGAGAATGAAATTGGAATTTTAAACTTGATTTTTTGATCCATTTTAGCAATTGGAAGAGGGTGTATCCGTTACAACGCATAAACCTCGGGGGGTTTTGTGTTATTTATGAAATAGTAGGGAGTTTTTGGATTATTTTTTTTTTCTATAATTCAGGTGATATTAATTAATACACTTCTATCCTATTTCAACCTACCATTTATTTCCACTGATGGGTTTGTGATAAAAGATGCAACAAAGAGCAAACCATTTAGAGAGGGTAGGCTACAAAGTCTATAAATCAGGTGAGAAAGTGAGTGGGAAACCAATCGGATTTTAGATTTACTCTAATATTTATTATTTTTATATATTTTTTTTCTCGAGAAATAATCTATTACATTTGAATGCAAACCACTTATTTTTAGTTATAACCCGTGCCTGAAGGCACGATAGAACAAAAAATACAAGTCCTAAAAAATTGATATCACTACATTAAAAAATTAGATTTGTATACATATAATGGAACATTTCATTCAGATCCCTTGTAGTTAGGTCTAAATTCAATGACACCTCATTCCGACTTTGAAATTTTACTGTCACTCACTGTTAATGATTGTCAAATTACACCGTTAATGACGATTGTTGATTTATAGAAATATTCCTGAGTATTTTATAGGATAAATTTTATCCACACCCCTAATAAATAAACCTAAATTTAACAACATCCCCTATAAATGGACCTAACTTTAACAACGCTCTTTCTTAATTTTGAAATTTCAATGCACTCTCTTTTAATTATATTATATTAGCCTTTATTTTGATCAATTTAATATTCAATTTTATCAAATTAATTTGTTTTATTTAATTTAAAGTAAATTAACATTTCATCTCATCAAATCAACAAAAAATTGATATTTAATTTTATTAAATTAACATTTAGTTATATTAATTTAATATTTCATTTCATCAAACTAATATTATTTCTTTAATTTAATATTAAGTTATTATTTATTTTTATCAAATCAAAATAAAATTGAAATTCAATTTTATTAAATTAAACTATTTAATTTATTAAATAGAATATTAAATTCCATTAATTTAAAATTTAATCTTATTAAATTAATGTCATTTCTTTAATTTAACATCAAATGAACGTTTAGTTTTATTAAAACAACATCCAAATTTATTCAATTAACATTAAATTCAATCCAATTAATGCTAAATTAATATTTAATTTTATCAAAATTAAGATCAAATTTATTCAATTAATATTAAATTTTATCAAATAATTTTAAATTTTATATATGAAGTACAGTGTGTGAGGAGCGGTCAGACGACGTTGTGGAGGACATATGATAGTAAATGAATTAAAAATGGATGAGATTTTGACATTGACTTTATCAATTATAATTTTTATTATAGAAAAATCATTTTTAACTATAAAAATTATTATGATAAAAAATATAAAAATTGATTATACAACCAAATGAGTGATAATATGATGACTAATATTATAACAAAGTTATAATACGACGTTTTAAAATAAAAATTTATTAGGATAATATAATGATAGAAATTACGTTTATTGGCTGACTAGCGCATATATAATAGGGAAAAAGTTGATGACATTTTAGTCAATTTACATAATAAAGAGTAATTTTAGTATTTAATAAAATATTTAGTTAAATCATTATTTTATCTACTGATAGAGACAAAAGTTATTACTATTGAGATTTTCATTGAATTTAAACTCAACTACACGATGTTTAAATGAAACTTTTTCTAAAATATAACATGTAGATATAATATGTTTTCGATTTTTGTACTATATATATGTACAGTAAAAATGTGTGCGTGATATGAATAGTAAAGATAGAGAACAACTTCATTAGAATAGAATTTTGGGGAGACATACGTCACATAATTTGGAAAGAGAATCATGAAAGATGATAGTGTGAGGGACAGTCAGTGTCTCAGTATAGAAAGTGATCTTTTAACGTAGGAAATAAAATCAAGGAAATAATGATAAAAATTATAACTTGTATTTTAGGGAGAGAGAGATAGAGTTGAGGAATGAGATATCGCTTAATTGCCGGATTTGATTGGGTGGAAGAATTAAATTTAGGGATACTAGTTTTGGAAACTAAAAGTTTTGAGCGGCAAAAAATTTTCAAGAGCTAATATGGTACGTCGGATCGAAACGATCTGAGACGTCAATAACTTGAGACAGTTTAAAATGCTGTCGGCCGTTAGATGATGCCTTTTTTAATCTTAAAACCATCTGAGTCACTCTTTGTCTCTTGAATTCAAAATTGTTCTACTTTATTATATAAATTTTTATAATTTTTTTTCTCGAAAAATAATCCATTACATTTGAATGCAAACCACTTATATTTAACGGATCACATTTAAATTTACAACATGCGATCTATCAAATATATATATATATATATTGAAGAGAACCTCAATCGAATGAATCGCCATGTGGTCCATGTATTGGCATGTATATAGTCTGTTACACTAGGAAACAAAGGAGGGATTTTTTTTTTTTGGGATTGAAACAAACAAATTTATGGGATTGAAACAAACAAGGGATTTGAGTAGGAATAGATGACTCTCTCTCTCTCTCTCCTCTCTCTCTGAATTAAACTCAGCCACCTTTAATGTTCCAACTCTATAAATAGTCCAGTCCTGGTTATATTTTATACTAGAAAAACAATATTCAATCAGAGAGAGAGAGAGAATGGCAAAAGGTTGTCATCATTTACTAAGGGGTAAGAGGAGAGAGACAAAATACACTCATGGATTCTCTTCATCGGAGATGGAGTCATTAACTAGAGTCTGTGAGGCTCTTTTGCCTCCTCTACCATTGAATTCTCTGGAAGGCACTGCAAAGGATGGCCAATCCAACAAGGCCATCGAGTACTTCCAAATGGCTTCTGGTTCCCAATATCCAGTTCCTGATGAGGTGACAAAATCTTCAATTCTCTCTCTCTCTCACACACACACACAAACACACACCCTCTCTCTCTCTCTCTCTCTACAAAGCACAATTGTAAAAGTGTTTTTGGGATGAGAACAGGTTGCTGAAACAGTAGTGAAGAGGGGTTTTTTTGAAGCAGTGATGTTGGTGAAAGGGCTGTTACGGGTGCTTTCCAGCAGGCTTGGTACACTATTGCTTTGTGGGTTTCTTTGTTTTGGTGATAAATGGCCATATATTTACAAGTTCTCAGAGATTTCATTGGAGAAGAGAGAGAAGATTCTCCAGTACTGGTTCAGAAATAGGTTTCTAACACCTGTCAGACTCGGATTCTTATTCATTAAAATCTTGTGCCTCTATGTCTTCTTCTCACAGGTACATATTAACCCCCTTTCTCTGACCTAATTCTTCCCTGTTTTTATAATTATCTATTTATATACCCCTAGTTTTAAATCTATTTCATAAACTGTCATCTTATGTACTATACCAATGTAGTTGCTATGAGAATTTATAATTTGTAGTTTTTACTTTTCTTTAAACAACCTGATTTTTTGGGATAAGGAGGTGGGGGTGACGGTAAGAGCAGTAGAATTGTAATTGAAGATATTGACAACATCGTAAATCAAAACGCGTTTTGAATACATGTTTCAAAATGTGTTTTCAAAAACAAATGTCAATATATTGAAAATCATGTTTTTTTAAAAAAATAATAATAATGGTATGATAAATAAGTTTAAAATTACAATATTTAGGTAAAACTATTTTAAAAATGGTATAATGGTAAAAAACCAATTTCTTTTATCTTTTCCCCTTTTTCCCATTTATGTGTGTTGCTTTACATTTATCCATATGCAAGTATACTTTACATATCCTTTAATACATTTTGTCCCACCTTGAACACCCATTATATTCCTCAAAAACCTGTATTTTAATAATAGACCCATTTAAAAACAATGAATATTAAAAAAAATAAAATATGTGTATATATATATATACACCCCGAAAGATATTTGAATCGCTTATGTACATGTTCCGGCTATGGTCAAATCAACCTGGAAATCAAATGGAATAAACAATCTTCAGTCTTTAGTTTTATTAAATTTCTGCAAACAAGTGGACAACTTGAAGAAATCATGAAAACAGAAGCGTGGAAAAATTCAAAATCGAAATGCTAGAACTACAATTTGTTAATGAACACATAACCAGCTGGTGCCTTGTTGTTTTACATAAACCAGTAAGTATATCATGCAAGCTGACTTTCCCATAGTTCATCATACTTGAACCCTTCCTCCTCTAATTCTTTCATATTCCAGCATACTCTCTCTCTCTCTCTCTCTCTCTCTCTCTCTCTCTCTCTCTCTCTCTCTCTCTCTCTCTTACCTGAGCCTACCAAATAATAATATGACCAAAACGTGGGGTAACTAATTATACATAGTCATAACATTCGGTTCTATATCTCTTTCGGTACTGATATATCGTATCCATCAAAATGATATTAGAATCCGGAATTTAGTGTATAGTCTATATCGTGGCTTCGTCATTCATTGCAGGCCAGCTTACCCACCAACCAAAGGTCCAAAGCAACTAGCTATTTTGTATTTGAAATTGTGTGACTGGTGACCCGATTATCATAGGTTACCTGACTTTTTTGAGAAAGATTCCATCATATCTAATAAAGAATTAGTTAAAGATTTATGTTGTGACTTCTTAACACAGTATTATTATTGTTGAGAGTCAATCTTTTCAAAATGCGATAAAATTATTTATCATTTTTCTCTTTTATAATCCGTTAGATACATAAATATTTTTGTTTCTCTCTCTCTTTTTTTTTGTTGGGTACATATCATATATAAAATCGCAACAATATTCCACAAGTTTTATTCTTGATTATGTTTGTCTATTGACTCTATTCCCTTTTCATTACAAGAATTAGGGTTTTTCTAAGACAATTTCTTTTTTTTTTTTTGTGACAGCAATGTTCATCGACACAAAAAAAAGTGTAGTTGAGAGAAAAAAAAAAGTTTTTTGTGATTGTAGCGCTATCATAAAAAATTTATTTGTTGTTGCAAATATTATGTAAGACGGATTGTTGTCGTCATAAAGACTTTTTGAGACCCCACTTATTACGGCAAGTTATTGTAACGGGATGTCTCACCATAATAAGTAAAGTTTCAAAAAATTTTTGTGGCGACAACTGACATCCAAAATAATATTTGCGATATCAAATAAATTTTTTTATGACAACATTATCACCATTAAAAAAAATATTCTCTAAAACGCATTTTTTTTTTTAACGGTAAACACCGCCGCCATAAAATACTTGTCTCAAAACACTAGTTTTTTTTTTTTTTTTTTCTTGTCTCGGTCCTAGCCTCTACATTAATAATGAGACAGATTTTTGTCCCTTTCCCAACATAAAGTGGTAGGGGTCCTTTATTTTCAAATCTACATTTCTATTATTATAATTGTAAGGGATATCACTGTTCACATAAGGATTCTGGGCTGGAGGTCTGTCTCAGTAGCTTTTATCTCTCGTCCCGTTGGGAGCTAGTCTCACATCAGTAGACAGTCGTCTTTTCTCCTGTCATATAAGTGATCACTTACTATAGAGGAGGTAGCCACTAGCACCAGATCTTTTTGTAAGGGGTATCACCCTCCACATAAGGATTCTGGCTGACTTAGGGGTCTGTCCCAGTAGTCTTTACCTCTCGTCTCGTTGGGAGCTAGTCTCACATCAGCAGAGAGTCATCTCTCCCCTGCCATATAAGTGATTACTTACTATGGAGGAGGTACCCACTAGCCACCTGATCAGGGGGGAGAAGACTTTCTATCGATGTAGGACTAGCTCCTAACGGGACGAGAGGTAAAGGCTACTGGGATAGACCCCCAGGTCAGCTAGAATCCTTATGTGGAGGGTGATACCCCTTACAATAATTTACCAAAAAAAAAAAAATCTACAACTCTAATAGTTAAATGTGTTAATGGCACTGTTTGTTTGTGTTTATATTAAATAAGTGTGTTTAAAGGCTATTTTACGTGTTCCCACGAAGTATTCAATATCTTTCGATATTTTTTTTCTATTTTTATTTGCACAATTAACATGGATTTCAACTTTTTTACTTTGGGAGATGTTGGTAATTCAATTCATTGTAAAACTGAAAAATTGATTCTAATAAATACTGAGACCCACAATAAAATCATGTTTTAAGGCCACCGTCCTGCTTTTAGATATTAAGTTGGTGGGTTTGAAAGTCATCGTCCCTTTCCCATGTTTTAGTACCTGGCCAATAATAATAAAAATGCTTTATAGCATTTAATGAGCTTCATCCGCTGGAAACATACTGAATACAATTAGATACAGGATTAGTTGAAGTGCATTTATCACATTAATTGAATGTTCCATTAGTGGGCTTTGCCCCTTCTTTCCGAGAGCCCCTCGCGCATCAAGGGGGATATATTCCAAAAGAAAATCGTTTAACGTATTGACTGATTGCACCCGCCTATGATAGCATAAAGCGCCTGCCGAATGCTTGCTCTAACAATTGGCTAGTCTATTTGGGGATAGACTAAAGATGTCCAAATTAAGCCCTTTTCTCACAGTGCAATCAGCATTCCAAGTGTTACACGCGCGCGCACACACATTAAAAAGACTCGCATCTTTATTACTACAGATGTGAGCTGCAGTGATAAATAACTGACATGGCACAAAAATTTAAGCCATAATACAACCGTGAAATTTTATATTCGAAATCACATCATCAATGTCACGTGACGTTACTATACAATAAAAATGTAAAAAAAATAAATAAAATAGACACTATTTTTTTTACATGGAGTGGCTACCGAAAGACATTCGATGGTAGTTATTAAATCATCTCCAAAGAAAACTCAAATCTTTACTTAAATTTGAGTTAAAAAAATAAATAAATCTCCAATGGAGAAATTTAAATTTAAAGGAAAATAAAATTAAATTTAAATGAGGGCAAATATAAATTTAAATGAGGGTAAAATATGATCATTGAATCTTTAAAAAAGAGTAAAATCTCACCATTAAAAATTAAGATATGGGTTTGAGTCTCCTTTTATTTGAATAAAAAAAATGAATCTCATTTTACTTAATATGGTTATGGCTATAACAAGGAAGAAGGTTTTAAAAGTTTTTTTTTTTATTCAAATTTGAATTTGAATTTGAATTTAAAAAGGGATAATTATCGGAGATACTCTTGAAATATGTGGGAATCACTTGTTTACTTGGAATGTTCTTATTGGATGCTTAGCTCATTGGCATTGGTAACAATTAATCGTGCAATGTTCTGATTAGAGCAATGTTATGCTGATCAAATTACTTATTAAATTTTGTATTCTAAATTATTGTGGATGATTAGATCAAGGGATCCACTAATTTCACTAAATATTCAATGTATGAGATTTTAACATATCATTTGAAATACAAAATTTGATAAACAAAATTTGATAAACAAATTTGAACAACACAGTTTTATCCTTGTGATTAATCTTTTTATTCAAACATTATTTTGACACCGCACAAACTCGCTAAACAAGAACTACATCTGTACACAGAACCATAAAAAAAAAAGATCAGAAAAAAAGAGAAAACAAGAATTTCAGTTTCAAATGCACAAATTTGAAGGAAGTGGATCCAATTTTCTTATAGGTTGGTGAAAATTCTGATAATCCTGCATGGGAAGCCATTGGATATAGAGTAGACACAAGTGAAGATCTGCCCAAGGACCGAAAGCAGAGACCTCTTCAGAAAGGAATGGTAGAAACCATGCATGAAACTGAGTCCAACATTTTAAATTCCCTCCTCCAGAAAGGCCTAAAGGTCACCGAAGACCCCAAACAAAACTTTTACAAGATCGAATGTGATGCTGTAATAGTTGGCTCAGGCTGCGGCGGAGGTGTGGCGGCCGCTGTTCTGGCAAGTTCTGGCCAGAAAGTGGTCGTTCTCGAGAAAGGAAACTACTTTACCAAGACAGATTATTCTTCACTAGAAGGACCCTCCATGGATCAACTGTATGAAACAGGAGGGATTCTTGCCACTTTCGATGGGAAAATGATGATCATGGCAGGATCAACGGTGGGTGGTGGCTCTGCTGTTAACTGGTCAGCATGCATTAAAACGCCACTGTCTGTGCTCCGGGAATGGGCCGAGGAATACAAGATCCCACTCTTCGCAGGCCCTGAGTATCCTTCTGCAATGGAAACAGTATGCAAAAGGATAGGAATTACAGAGAATTGTGAAAAGGAGAGCTTCCAGAATCAAGTTCTTCGTAAAGGGTGTGAAAAACTAGGTCTTCGGGCTGATTCGGTGCCGAGAAACTCATCACAGAATCATTATTGTGGTTCTTGCTCTTATGGCTGTAGAACAGGAGAAAAAAAAGGGACTGACTCAACTTGGCTGGTTGATGCTGTGGCTTCTGGTGCAGTGATCATAACAGGAAGCAAAGCTCAGAGATTTATATTGGAAAAGAACAGGCCTCAAGGTACAAGAGGAAAGAAATGCTCGGGCGTAATTGCAAAATTTCTAGACAAAAACATCACAAAGAGACTGCATATAGAAGCCAAAGTTACAATCTCAGCATGTGGATCTCTCCTTACACCGCCTCTAATGATCTCGAGTGGGTTGAAAAATCCTAACATTGGCCGGAATCTTCATCTTCACCCGGTTTTGATGGCTTGGGGATACTTTCCAGAGTCCAATTCAGAACTCAAGGGGAACACCTATGAAGGAGGGATTATCACATCGGTTCATAAAGTGGGGTCGGACAAGTCCAATCCAACGGCCATTATAGAAGTTCCGGCATTGGGGCCTGGATCATTTTCTGCACTATGTCCTTGGGTGTCTGGACTGGACTTCAAGAAGAGGATATTGAAGTATGCTAGAACTGCTCATTTGTTTTCAATGATAAGGGACAGAGGGATGGGGGAAGTGAGGAAAGAGGGAAGAATTAGCTATAAATTCACTGCACTAGACAGAGAAAATATGAAGACAGGGTTACGACAAGCATTGAGGATCTTGATCGCAGCAGGAGCTGTTGAGGTGGGAACTCATCAGAGTGATGGCCAGAGAATCATCTGTAAAGGGACTAGTGAGGAGGAAATGGAGGAGTTTCTGGATACAGTCACTGCACCCGAAGGGGCAATGTCATTGGTAGAGAAATGGACAACATATAGCTCTGCCCATCAAATGGGGAGTTGTAGGATGGGAATCACTGAAAAGGATGGTGCAGTAGATGAGAATGGGCAGAGTTGGGAAGCAGAAGGGTTATTTGTATGTGATGCTAGTGTTCTGCCAAGTGCGGTTGGCGTCAATCCTATGATCACCATCCAGTCTACTGCTTATTGCCTCTCAAAGAAGATAGTCCAGTCGTTGTAAAAAGGAGCTCTCAAACTTTAATTTACTTTTCAGACATGGACTGAACTAAACTTGGAAAGTGATGGACAGAGCAGGAGCAGAATTAGGAATCTAAGGAGATCTGTAAGGAAGTGCTACATTTTAAGCAGCCAAGATTTTCGGCAACTTATAGATTTATAGTGTAAACAGATTTTTTAGCTGTGGATTTGATATGTTTGGCTATAATGTTATAGTTATGAAAGGAATTAGGTTTTCTGATAAAGAGAGTAAACCCAAGTAATGCACAGGACAGTCTCTTTATGTCAAATGTTATGGTTTTGTGATCTGGGGATGGGAAGAGTTCAATATGGCTGACGTACAACCAATACATGCTCATTATTACAAGAAATCGAAAAATCTTGAAATTGAAAGAACAAAATTCTGTAGAGCACCAAAGTGCTACACAAATACATATCTAAAAGACTTTTTTGTCCATAAAATAAGTTTTGTACAACATCTAAATTGCCGATATATAGAATTTTCTTTATCGAGAAGATAGGTTGGTAGTGTATGAAGAGCTAAATATTCAAAGCAATAGTGATTTTACAACATCAGTGATAAGTGTTATCACGATTGACTAACTATGTGTTGTGTATAGAGGGTCAACAACTCGTAAGAATACCTAACATGACCAAATAACAACTTAAAAGGTGTTTGATATATTTAACCTGTATATGGAGCATGTTGTTATTACATTGTGATATATGTCATTGATCAACTAGCACCATCGTTGCATTGAATATTTCCTCCCTATTCCCTAGGCAATGCTGTAGACATATAAAATAGGTGAATAGCATCCTTGTCGATCACAAAACAATTATACACCCAAACACAAACTCTAGCTTCAATATGGTCAAGCTCGTCTTGGTTGTAACTGATCGAACTCAAGCTCTATTGTCAAGCTTAAGTTCTTGCTAGAGCCTGGCTCTAAAGAAGTTTGCAACTATTGGAACCAAACTCAAGTGTGCTTTCTCAGCAAATCTTCCAAAAATCAAACTCAAAAACTTAATAATCAAACATAAAATAATCAATTTCTCAAAAAAAAAAAAAATCCTCAAAATGGAACTAGTAAAACCATAAATCAGACCCTAAAAGCTCAAAATTTCTAAAAACCTGTCAGAAAAGAGATGTAGATAAAAGTGTATATGATCTGAAGGTAGTAGGGATAAGTATCAAGGCTAACTCGTACGTTTCTTGCTTAAATTCAACTTGTTTTCTAGAAACTTGATCAGTTTGTTCAATCTCTTAATAGATAAAAACTGACAAAAAAATGTAGTGATATTTTAGAAATTAGAAAGAATGTTAATGAAATATGACTTAAATTCAAGAAATGTCAGTGAAATTTATCCAAATAAATACCAAGGCAGGCTGTGCAACAAAAACAAATAAGGTCGTCAAATTAAGTACAAATAGCATTACTTGTAAAAAACCCCATCTATTCTATCATCTCTCTCTTTCCATCCCCACCTCCTCATCTATCATCTTTTTCAAACACAAGAGAAGAAAATATTAAATATAACAGTGACAACATATAACTATTATGACGTTACATGAATACTTTTTACAATGAGAAACTTACAAAAAACTTTGATTCTTTTTGTATATCCAAATGAGATCATGACATGATCATCATTGTGGATACCCGATAAATAATCTTAAATGTAGTTCAATAGGTAACAAGAATGAGTTATAAAGTCAGACGTACTTAATTTGGGTGATTAATGATTTATCTCTTATGAATACCTTAATTTTAGCGTGGATGACCTGACCGGATGCAGAAGTAGAGTTGATGTGCACGTAAACTCATCCGAATCTAGAGACAAAAAAAAAAAAAAAAGAAGATAAATGAACGCACTGCAGGCCCCAATATACAATATTGGTCACTGAATAACCATAAATCCTCTAATTTACGGATATACCATTGCATGTAGAAGTGTCCAGGCACCAACTGTTTACCACTCGTAAAAATTTACAAAAAAACATTTCAGTGGTCAACACGGCTAAAACAGTTGAACAACTCATTTGCGAGACTTTCTAAGAACTGAGCATTTCAGAACTTCTGAGAAAGACAACTATGGTGCCAACTGTCAGTTATTCCAATTGTACGATGCAATCGAGGACTATACCTTTAACATGATACATTAACAACATAAATATTCGACACGCCACAAAGTTTGGAAAAAAAAAAACAGGATTAATTAATAATAATTGATGGAGAAATTAACAAGTTTGGACATTAGTGGAGCGGTAAAGTTGTTTCTATTAGGATTTGTGCGTTCCAATTAAAAAAAAGGTCTCTTAATTAATAAGGTAAAATTGTGTAAATCTAACATCATTTTAGAGTTCAAACACCGTAGTTTATAATAGTGAAAATATAGTGGATTAGGCTTGATGCATGATATAAACAACTCTAAGCATCAAGGCATATACTTGCTTGGCCTGCAATTTCTATATGCTAGCCTTATTACAAGAGTACACCAAAGTGCTTCAATGTTTTTTTCCTTTTGTTTTATTTGATTGTATCGAAAGAATGTAATGACAAGATTTTAGCTGTCAAAGAAGAGAAGCAAAGGAAAATTCAGCCTTGGTAGTTACGGTACTCATTCATGAACAAATGCCAAGTAAGTTTTATATATGCAAGAATTCCAAAAGTATAATACAAGAAGATGGGACAACTTTATTATTATCTAAACTTTGTGGTGGCAGAGAAATTAACACCCCCCCTACACGCTTGTCAATCTTGTCGTGTGAAGTGGGTTTGTGTCAAGTTTAAACGAATTTACAAAACGAGTGACAAGATGTAAACACTCTCTCTCTCTATATATATATCTATATAATAAAATAATTTACAATCCAAATTTCAAAAGATAAACAAAATGACTTTTGTTTTTCTTATTTCAGATCACTTTATATTTTATTTTAAAGTTAATCTAACTGTTAATATTAGCATCCTAAATTTAATAGGAAAAATAGGGTTCTAAAAATGTGTTTGGAGTGACTTTTTAAAAGTATTTCTAAGAATTATTTGTCATAAATATTTTAAAAAACATAGTATTTAAAATCGTCCCACCACTACCTCTACCACCACCGCCGCTGCCACCACTACCACGGCCACCATCGCCACGGCCACCACCGCCACCAAGATCATTGCCACCCACCACAACTATCACCGTCTCCTACCACCACAACTGTCGTTCATCACCTCTCACCCTCACTACAACTAATGTTTAAATTCATTTATCTCTCATCTATGTTTGTAATTTAGATTTGAATACAAATATGTTTATTGTTTACTATTTTTTTATTACTCTGTGCCTTCAGACACAAACAATAACTAGTATATTTATATATGACCCAACTCGGAATATAAATAAATGAGCTTTTGACCCATCTCATAAGGTTTTTAAAAAAAAGTCTCAAATAATGGTTGATTTCAAAATAATTTCCAAACTCATGTCCTTTTTAAAAACGTTAAATGGACTGACGTTTTTAGATTAAAGACATCAGATGGATTGACGTCTTCAACCTAAAAACGTCAGTCCATTTAACATTTTTAACCCTTTTTTTCTCAACACACTGACTTTAATAAACGTAAGTTGGACTGATGTTTCTTTAAACACGTTAGTCAAATTGACGTGTTTAACACTGTCTTGCTCCTCTTGTTTTTCCGCTGGTTGCCTGGCCCATTCTTTGCCAAAAGTCGAGCAACTTGGACATCACTCCACCGACTTTATTGCATGAAATTGGGTCACTGACAAATGAAATTGGGCTACTTCTTTTTAAAAGTTGTTTGACTTTTGGCGAAGAATGAGCGAGGCAACCAGCAGAAAAACAAGAGGAGTGAGACAATGTTAAATGCGTTAGTTGGACTGACGTGTTTAAAGCAACGTCAGGCCAACTGAAGTTTATTAGGGTTATTGTGTTGAGAAAAAAAGGGTTAAAAACGTCAAATAGACTAACGTTTTTAGGTTAAAAACGTCAATCCATTTAACGTCTTTAACCTAAAAACATCAATTCATTTGACGTTTTTAAAAAAGACGTAAATTTGAAAATTATTTTGAAACCAATCATTATTTGAGATTTTTTTTTTAAAACCCCGTGTGGGATGGGTCAAAAGCTCATAAATAGACAGGAGGGTCATCGACTCCAAAATTCCTTGGCCATCACTGATATCACTTCGTTTGGATTGAAATGAATATTGCTCAGAGCTATGAAAAACCCCGGTGGTCTGCTGACATTTGTTCCTGTGGTGATACTGGAACATGTAAGCTCTCTCTCTCTCCCTCTCTCTCTCAATTTTGCATGAGTTGCTGGAATTTTTTAGGCTTATCATCGGAATACCAACAACCTAGCATGCCATGGTTGATTGTATTAGAGATATGAAATTGACAAGCATACAGGTCCAACAATACCCACCCAAAAAAAACATACAGAGATCATAAATAAGCATAAATGGTATTTTATTTTTATTTTTGAATTGTTAATGACCCTATAAATAATTTTATTTCGATAGAACATAGAAAGAAAAAAATAGCACCATCTATACAACCACCATGAAAACAATATCCCATGTTATACAGTAGAGGAGCCGTACCCCTGGGGGAGCGATTGCCCTGGCCAACCCTAGATCGTCATGGCTCAAAGAAAACTTTTCTTATAGGTTGATGCAGTATGATAGAACTAGTCCTCATTACTTTTCATATTTGCTGTATGCAAAGTTTCATCCAAGCGTTTGCTTATATTAATTCCTTGACAAAGTTGATTATTTTCTTCTTTAATACATACTCACCAACCCAATTCTATGTGAAAAATGCCTATGCCTTGCAGGTTGCATAACATGTTTGCTTCCATGCATTACCTTTGGTCAAATTGCAGAGGTCGTGGACGAGGGGGGAAGCTGTAAGTATCATCACAATATTTGGTTTCTTTAGGCATAGGTTTTGCAGTATTGAATGTAAAGATTGAAACTTTTTTTATAATTG